CCTTGTGTTTTTAAGTGTTTAGTTTTTGTTTTTAATACTTGCATACACTTGAAAAATATGGTCTTTGTTAAGTGAGAATCAATATTGGTTGACATTGAGAAATCTTTGAATGTTCTGGAATGTGGATATGAGAGTTTGGCTCTTACATTCCAGGCCATCTTTTTCCCCCGAGTAAATAAAGTATAGAAAATAAGAATCCCTCAAGAAAGCCAAACACGCCAAAATTGAAAATGTTGCAGACTCGGTTTGATGATCCTGTTTATTCCCACATATGCAGATAACTCTTCATGAGGAATTTCAAGAATTGGCCTGCTTACACCGACAGAGATCAAACATTCTAAGAACAGTTTTATGTCCTAGTCAGTTGCAACACTAGTGTTCTGATTCAGGCTATCATCTAGAAATTAATCGACAACTTAAGTAGTAAAATGTGGAAAACTGACATTGATAGTGTTGTTGACATCTTGTTCAGTTGGAAGAACTACCAGTTCATTCTCCTTATTATGAACTTAGCCACTGCCATTGCTGCCTCGATGAAAATCAATGTTAACTAAGCACTCATCTTAATCATTGGCTATTTCAATTTACAACTCAATATCGCTTTCCTGTAACATTTTGCAGAAGATAGCAGCTGTCAAAAGCTTGAAAATTGTTCAAGCTTTTGACAGCTGCTATCTATTGATACGGATTTTATGTTAGGAATAGAGTGAAATAGAATAGAAACATTGTTAACGGGGCATCTCTGTTTTGTACAAAAGTGATTTTTATGATAAAATTGTTATTATAATTGAATACATTTCTCTTAATAATGAACTAATTTATCTGATGTAAATAAGAAGAAAGTAGGCCGGCAAGACACCAGTGAAAATACGGAAAATGTTTCACTGCAGTGAAAAATATTTTTTTACAATGAAAATTCGAAAAATATGCATTTTATTTCAACAATATTAATTTTCATTTATACGTAATGTTAAATTGATCCCTACTTGCTTATTACTTTATCATCAATGAATGTACACATAATAATTACTATGATTATGAATTCTATATCTAATACCTAATATATCGCTTACTTTTTTACATCCCTGATGTATGAACTATCGCACTGTAACAGTGACAACTAGAATTAGAATGAACAAAACTATAATGTAACAGTAAACATAATTGAACTGTGCTGTTATAAATACAATAAAATGAACAAAACTTTACCTAATATACTTTCTAAATAAAAAGAACTTCAAATAACACAGTAAAATCTAGAATAAATGTAAACATTAGTGAAGATGTCTACAAAGAAAACATAATAAATTGAATATCAGCATGTGAAATATGATAAACAAGATCAACAAGGAAAGGCGGCGTTCAATGAACGCAACCCCCACCCGACTCGGCAACAACAGCCAGTGGCAAGGAGCCCAAGAGGACCCCCAAACAAAAACAGGACAGGGCACAAGGGCATGGGCAAACCCATTTTTAACATAATTCTTTTTTTAAACTGAATGACTATTGTGCAAAACACATTTATTACCTTTTTCATTGAAAAAAACAAACAAACAACAAAAACCCACAAAATCTTCAGAAAAAGACGCCCATTTTTACATATTAATTCTCTGTTTTCCAAGTCTCAAATTTCAAATGAAACGTCACTTTTTGATTTTTAACTTTAGCAATGGCAATGACCGGTTGAAACACCCTCTCCAATTCTTTTCTAATAAGTCAGTTTCATTCTTGAATGTTGCTTAATGTGTGAACACATTTTAATGTTGTGTTTCTTTCATATCCACAAAATCTATCTTGGCATAAACTGTGGTCCCCAAACTGGTGAGGTATTATAGCACGGATATTCTCTTCCATTGTTTTGGCAAATGTGTATTTCAAGCACTTTTGAAGATGATTCATTCTTATTCTGCTAATTCAAACTTTGCTTGCTTGAAGGTTGAGCAAATGCTTCCCAACATTTTTAACAATATGGTTCCTGTAAAACCTTTTTGTGTTTTATGTTCATATTAGACCGCAACTTTGCTATCAAGGTGTTATCACAATCCCGCCCCCCACCCTCTATTCGATTAAAGGTGCTCCTTCTTTACCACCTTTAACACAACTTAACTTTCCATCATTCTGACACTCCCATAGCGATCACAGACACTTGGGGTTTGGAGCTCAAAACGCCTTTAAAATCCAAATAAAATGCACATTTGTCAATCCCAGCACATGTACTGATCATATATATCAAAAAAACTTAATATAAGCCGTTTTGAAAAAAAATCATATTTCAACATCTATAATAATACGCAAGATAAAAATGTTCGCCGGAAATTAAACTTCAACGGTAATAAAAACAACGCAACAGCTGAAAAAAACATCCTCCATTTACAAAATCCACCTCCAGTCGGCTATGACCGAAGCCATCCGATTATAAATTCAAACGTGGCCCCAGCTTTGCCGTGTGCAAAATGCGCAGCGCTTTTAAGATTGGGAACCAACATAATCGGATGGCTTCGTACATAGCCGACTTGAGATGGAAATCTATCGAAAGATTTTGTAAATGGCGGAAAGCGGTGATAATCTTGATGTTTATTTCAGCTGTTGCGTTGTTTATATTACCGTTGAAGTTTAAAATTGACCATCATCGTGAAGAATTATATCGTCTGTGTCGATGGACCAAAGGATTATGTGAAAATATTAGAAATTGAATAAAATACATGGTGATTATGACGGTAGGGGTGCGGACTTTTTTCCGGCGAACATTTTTATCTTGTGTATTATTATAAGTGTTAAAATATGATTTTTTTTTTTCAAAACGGCTTATATTAATTTTTTGATATATATGATCAGTACATGTGCTGGGATTGACAAATATGCATTTTATTTGGATTTTAAAGGCGTTTTGAGCTCCAAACCCCAAGTGTCTGTGATAGCGATTATAAACACATCTTTGCCTTCTACCAGGCATATTCATCGCCACCACTTGCAGGTTGCACACGTTCGATGCTGCACTATAGACTTCACCAACTTGCGTATTTAGCCTCGCTCATTAAGAATGTGTGAGCAGAAAAAATACTTTAGAATATGTCATTTATATATTTGATGATGATTTGTCCAAATCTAAATAAATAATATAACCTATAAAAAAAACTGAATGTATGGAATAATTAACATAGAGAATGTGGGCAAACTTAGTAAATAACTAATAAATAATGAAATAATTTGAAATAATGACTTATATAATGTCCACAAACAATTAAGATTTTAACATAAAAACAACCCACTTTAATCAATAAGGATAAACAGCAACTTAAATGTTAAACTGTCAAACCCTCGCTCCTGCAAAGCAATGTCGAAGACACAGGACATTCCATTTCGAGTCTTGCATGGAAAATGGTTAACGTGCACATAGTGTTTGGCTTCAGCAATATGGATTTACTTTTCTCCAAAAAGAATAAAGCACTAGCTTAACGCAGTCCCCACATGACCCAATGGAGGGGGAAACCAACGCTGAACGCTGAACAATCCCTTGAGGATGAAAATATAACAACATTGATTGCATGTAAGGGGGGACTTTTTACAGCCGCCACACAGCAAAAACAACACGGTTGTGAGCATAAAATATGATAAGATCAACAAGGAAGAGCGGCGTTCAATGAACGCAACCCCCACATGACCTACTTGGAGGGTGACACCAACACTGAATGCCGAACAATCCCTTGAGGATGAAAATTTAACAACATTGATTGCATGTACAGGGAGACTTTTTACAGCCGCCACACGGCACAAACAACACGGTTGTGAGCATAAAATATGATAAACAAGATCAACAAGGAAGGGCGACGTTCAATGAAATTGATAAATAAAGAATCCCTAAAGAAAGCCCAACACGGCAAAATTGAAAATGTTGCAGGCTCGGTTTGATTGAGCCTATTCATGGACGGTACTGGAAAGTGCAAGTTACCGTCCACGCCCCCTAGCACCGGCTTAAGCAGAATTCAACATTTAAACGTGAAATAGTAAAATTTCGAATTTAGAAACATCCGCAGATGTGTTCATACGGCGGTTATCATGGAACCTTCAATGTGACACCTCCGTGCCATTCCATGAAAAGCGGCGTATGGTCCCCAAGTAATAAAAAGCGTGTGCCCTAAACGAGAAAACAATGGGCGGAACTAAATAAAATGGAATTTTGAAAGGGGATCAGAGGTTATGAAGCCTGCGTATCACAGATAAGACGTCAAAAGACAAATTTAAAAAGCAGGCAACATATCCTAAGGGTGATTCAACATTATTCAAGTTGGAATATTGGAACCACCCAACTAGAAAATGCCGAAAAGTTGAAACTAAAAATACTACAAGCACAACAATAATGTCGTGCTGAACGATCTTCAAGGATCAAAAATACAACCCCCACACCTGACCCACAAGTCAAATTTTCCAAAAAGAAATGAATGCATATAATTTATTGATTAAATATAATGTGCACAAATATTTGCAGTACACATTAAAGTGTTATGCTTACCTTAAAACACTTTCCCTGTATGGATGACTGTTTATATCAATAAGTTACTTCAGATTTCGTCTTGTTGTCTTTTCACTAGGTTCCATCAAGATGGCGGCTTCGATCTTGCTCGTCATGCCCGGACTAAATCTCGTCCATCCGGTATCGGAATCTTCCGGATATGATCAGACTATCATATCTCACCACACTCCCCCCGACTTTAAAGACGAAATCTTCTCCCTGGAAGTGTACGCCCCGAGATTACTTAGTCCACTCCTGGGTTTCAAACCAGTACCCTCTTGACCGCCTTTACAGGCGTTGGCCTGTAAATACAGATGATTATCAATGTCAGGCGTTAGCAAGACAGATTACCATGCTGTTATTCACCATCCATCAAGTTATTGATAGAAAGTTCTCCACTGGATCGAGAATAAGATATCTTTGATATTTCATCTTCCAGCATCCAGCTCCTAAGCCCGTTAGAGCTCAGAACCCCAAGTTGATTACTTACCTCCATACAAAACCCTGGCGTTAGCCACAGTCCTGCGAAGTAATACCACCTGGTCTTTTTGTCGCCCCTCAGCAACTACAGCAGCAGTCATGCCAATTAATATGGGAGCGGAATATCTTGTTCCATGTCGAAACTTCGGCTTACTGTTACCCCCGGAGAACTGGAAGTATGGAGCATCTGTCTCAAGAAGGATTCTGCTATCTTGTACAGCTCTTAATCCCCTTAGCTGAGCTTCATCGAACCGGTCAACTAATCTGGTAAAACCAAAGTAGGTGTTCGGGAAGACCGACGTCCACTCTTTGACCATGCTCTCCGAGCCAGTAAAACAATGAAGATGGATGTTTTGTTCCTTTCGAACCCTGGGCTGAAGATGAAACAGTAAAGTCATGTAGGCTTCACTGGTATCGCCTGTACGCACCATGCTTCTACAATGGATGATCAAAACATGCATGTCGTGAAGAAAGCTCAAAGCAATGTTAAGGATCCTAAGTTGGCTCCCCCAGAATTCTGGTGACACTGTGTGGTCAATGCCAACCTCTCCAAGACCGACAACCTCTGGCATCTGTAGAAGGGATTCCATCCGCTTCAATGTGTCATCTGTAACCTCGCCGACATCCTTATGATGCAGACCGATAGTTACAGACACTCCTTGGTAAAGTTTCCTTACCATATCTTCGGAGGGGTAAGTAGCTGGGTCACAGAAGTTAGCCACAGCTCCCACAAGGTTTACTCGATGGTAGGGGTCACCAGTCGCCTGATTTATTTCGGCTAAACTGGCTCCACGCATACGCATCACTCCCTGCAATCTATCCAGGTGGAAGTGGCTATCAAATCCCTCTGGTACATCGGCTGGGGCTTCGGTAGGCTCTGAGGGCTCCTCGGAGTAATGGAACTGCTCCATCAGACGATGTCTCGGTTCAAGCTTAGCTATGATAACAATCAATACGCCCCACTGGATGACAGCTGCAAAAGAATTCATTGGCGAGATGACATTCGCTCAGGGAGTTCTTGGAATAATTCCCGAGACATATCCTCCATCTCCTCCTTTAATCTGGTTGACACCTCCCGGTCACTGTCACGAGGAACCTGCTCAGTGCCGTTCATGTACTTTACCAGGTCCTCGAGCTTGGCTCGATTACCTAGCAACAAACCAGTCATCAGCTTGAGGGCTGCTACACGTTTTCGTGTCACTTCCTCCAATTCCATCCCCTCCTTGGAAAGATTAGGGATATGGTGCTGGAACGCATGACTCTTTGGATACGCATTTCGAATGTTGCACTCCGGAATCAAACAAGGTTGCTGGATGACCTTTGCTGCTGAACTGATGATGGTCTAACGTTTCTAGGTTAGGTACAGTTACCTGTATCTTACCTTTTTCCTCGGTGGTAGACCGCCTTGTCCCGTCTTTACTGGATGATGCTGCATTTGATCTTTCCTTAGGGCGACTACCAACCACCTTAAGTTTTGTCCCTTGGTAGGAGCCGCGTCCCAGGGAAGAACTTTCTCCTGCGATGCATTCAACGGAGGACGTTTGTCCCCGGTCAGAATGACTCACCTTCGGTTTCTTGGGAATAGCACCACTGCTGACATCTCGGGATTCAGATCTGTCGTCCCTGGAGCTTACATAGCTCAATTGACCAGGCAAGTCAACAGTCATGCCACGTCCGCAAGGCAGCATTCCCTCCTTGTCACTCCTGTGACGATGACGTCTTCTTGGTCGTCTTCGACTTTTTGTGGACACATCAACGTCTTTCTCTGACGGAACACGTTTCTTTACCGGAGAAGGATACCTAACTGGAGATGTCGTACCTCGATGTTCCGGTGAAGTAGCCGGAACAGCCAATGATTGTTCCATAGAAGGGACCGTTTCATTGGAACTGTCCGCTTCCATGGCCTCGGTTGCCGGAGATGTGCTTAGCACGACCTCAACAGCTTCCGGACTGCCCACAATATCAACTGCACTCAAAAGATTATCTTCGGTGCCCGATGATATTGATGACGACGCCTTTTCTTCTTCTTGTTGTCTTTTCTCTAGGTTCCATAAAGATTGCGGCTTAGATCTTGCTCGTCATGCACGGACTAAATCTCGTCTATCCGGTATTGGAATCTTCCGGATATGGTCAGACTATCATATCTCACCACAACATTTTACATTTTCTTCGATGTTTGAAATTGTTTTATTTGCATAATTATATACATATATAATGCAAGTGTGGAACACACACAGTAACAATATCAATCACATAACATACAGGATCTTTAAGTAGCTTAACTGGCGGAGGAGGATTCCAGGTGTCCCTCTGTACATATTTCAAGCACGAATACTCCTAGCCACTTGTTCTTGCTGCTAGGTTGTTTGGGACTTGCGTTCGCGTTGATCGCCGCCATTCCTTGTTGATTTTGTTTTAAATTATCATATTTTACATTGCGATGCTACTGTTGAGTGTGTGTCACAGAGTGACAGAATGACAATTCATCAAAATACATGCATGCGCAAGGCTGTGCAATACCATTTAATTGATTGTTAAATGATATGAGTTATCGAAAATTGACATTTAAATTTTGATTATGTAATTTTGCCCGAGATGACTCATTGACCGAGATAATTAAGGGTCCAGTTATTTTTAGGTCCAAGTTACCCTAATTTAGCGGTATACTATATATCCGGAAACAGTTTCTGCCTGCATGAAATGCAAGCTATCTTGGTTAATTTACATGTATTTTCTCATCTGTGAATATAATATAAGTTGATCATTTGTTAAGCATAAAATGTTGTAGTAAGATAACTATGTTTATGATCACATGAAACAAACCAAATGTGTAAGCTTTATATTTGTACCAAGCTTGGTATTGACTGCAAAACAAGGCATGTCAGACTTCCCTATTTTCCCGGCGGGTCTTTTCCATACGGTACACAGGTAATAAAACCACAATTTACATGTTGACACTAGACATAAAGATTTCAATAAAGGCCTTAATTAATTTCTCTTTGAACACTATATAACGTCAGAGGAACTGGTCCTAATCTGCACGATTTCCAAAACTTTAATTTTTTCAAGAAGCCCGCCTAGTTCGATGATTCGACGCCCAATTGTCCAATGTTGTATACGATTACGGCCAGCAAACACTTCAGAAGAATCACCACTTGTCCGTTACATAATTATCCTCAATTATAATTGTTTCAAATCTTTTATTCTTATTTGTTTTCTTTGTGTATTGGCCAAATTGTATTCTCTGAAAACTGAGGTAACGGTTGCTAAAATTAGGTTTTCAAAAAGTGAAAGCGGCTCCTTGTCTTCTACGACGTTTAACGATATTACACTTTATTTACCGATTCCGTTATTCTTAAAGTCACATTGTTAGTCAAAATTGAAAACTTACACGAGAATCATTTCTACAAAAAGCGTTACCATATGCAAAAAATTAGTCTTTATGTATACCACGGTGATTGAAATTTTGTCAAATTTGAAGAAGGGATATGGCTCTAAATAACAACAAAAAATTGATTTATTGTTCTGTTATATTTGAAAATAAATGTCTAGCACTATCTAAATAAGAAAAAAATGTAATAAAAAGCATATTCCTATTAGTGGCTCAAAATAATTCAACTTGAATTGCAGACGTATGTAATGTGCATTAAATATATATGGAAAACAAAACCAAAGCAGAGACATTATTCCCTCAAACTCATTTAATTAACGACTGGATAGGCCTTAGTATTTCAATTTAGCAGACGTCATACAAACGGAAGCTGTCTATTACCCAGTTGATGTATTGTCGGAATGATTCTTACGGTCTTGACTGACAGATTAAGTGTGCGATTGTCAGAAGTCAGACTGGTATTCCAACACTACGAATAATAATATACCATATAACACCAAAAACATTACTCAAACGCATTTGTTTGGTCAATTTATTTGAGTTGACTGGGAGGAAAACTTCTTAAATAGGTATGCGTTCATGATAAGCATACACATTTACGCTTTTGAAAAAACCATATGACGAAAATAAAGTTTATCAGTTGATATGTAATAAAACGTGACAGAGCAACATCATATCATCTTAATAATACAGAAAATATATGAAAGTTAAGCAAATAAGTAGGCAGTGGCTTAACGAATTAGATTTTCTTCACGTCATATCTACTAAGACGTTTAAAAAAGCGGATTTAAGAGTGATTTAGGAATCAGTTTTAGTTTCACAATGAAACAGAAATACACAGCTAAAGTATATTAATAACATTTTTAGAATCGTTTAATGTACTTAACAAGATCAACAAGGAAAGGCGGCGTTCAATGATTGCTCTATGAACACTCGCATGTTTATAACACATTGTACCCTTTAGCAGTAGTGTACACAGCTGTTTTAATGCAACAAAAACGACAAAATGTGATTTGCATAACCCACAAGGATGCTTTTGGCATTGTTTCAGAATTACATTATTGCGATACAAAACAAACATGAGACTCTAATGTTAAGGACAATGAAAACAGCAACGTACGTGTACATAGATGTACATGTAGTGTACATGTAGCAGGGTTGTTTGAAATATATTTAGCACACTTAAAGAAGAGAGATACTGGTATGACAACATAGTATTTACCAATAGTCTTCGTGGTAACAATATATGAAGTCAACTAGTTTCAACAATTCTCATTGTTATTTGCTCAAATATCAATTTGAAAACCTCGTTTAAACATTGCATGCCCTTCTTAAAAACCTAAATGAATTTGTAAAATATTCATGATAACCGTATTTTTATACAATTTGAAAAGTTCTTATAATTACATCTGTATTAAACTTTAATTTGATTTGTTCCTGATTATAAATACCAATTCAATATTGTATTGAGCACACTTTGGGAATTGGTTGCATACAAATACTTTTTAACATGAATTATGCCTGTAAAATACATACGCACACATATGTTGCTGATTCAAAATCACAGGAATGATGATGTCATTTAGACACCAAAATGAGTCTTAAAATTAATGAAATTATAAAAATCTGAAAAAGTGTAATCCCTCGAAAGCATTAACGCAACAGAATTACATGAACATTGAATACTCGATTTGATTGAGTCTGTACATGAGAGATAACGGAAACGTGCTACATTCCTCTAGCCCCGGCTTGAGCGGTACTCAATTTTCAACACTTTAAATGTTGGAACCAATGATCCCGAATGACCGGAAAAATATAACAACTCTGAATCACGGGGCAAATTTTTAGAACACCTACTGTTAGTATAATAATCTGGAAACAAAGGATCAGAAATATATAACAATACTGAATCTGGTTATCGTCTTAAGGAAAAGTATTGTGAGAAAGATTAGCAGGCAGAATATTGACTGTGAATAAAAGACACATTAACGTTAACAAAAATAAAGTTTATGATGGAAACGGCTCCGTATTCTCACAAGCTATCTGAATACATCTGCATACACAATTACTATATGAAAACATCATTCCACTCACTTCTTTGTGAGAATAACGTCATACAGTTAACTTATTTAAAGGTCATATGGCGGGTTTACTAGTAGAGACCCTCAGTTGTACCTCTCTTATTTCAGACACGAACGTGCACACAAACCATTTGTTACTACACATAGGTTTAAATATGTTGCTTTTAATTAGAATTTACTTGTAACTTATAAGTTATTATAAATATACATTTATTTCAAAAAGATAAAGAACAAGAAGATTGTCCTGAAGATGAATTATTTAGTTGTAAAAATTGTGTTTTATAAATAGATAACGTTACTTTTAAATAAGAACATCTTTAAGAACGAATTACAAGTCAGAAAAGCAGTGCAAAAACTGAAGCACATATATTTATAAACGGAACTAATGTTAAATAAGTAAACACCGAATTATGAACAAATTGCTAAAATACAATGACGTTAAATAAATCGAGAGTTTAATAAATATTATAATAGTAAGAATTACATACTTGTATTTAACAGTCATTTAATATTTAAA